CATACACAGTTGTTTCACTTACCATTTCATATCCAATTCAATTGACCACCACACTATTCAAAGCTTGACTTTTCAAGTCCTATGAGCCTAATTTTCAGTTGACAAAGAAGGATTTTCAAATCAATGATCTTCATTAAAGTTATGAGCAATGAAGTTTGAAAAATCTTATTTGAAAAATTTTTTATAAGCCAATACATGAAGCTTTTCTTCACAGATTCTAGATTTTGGTAATTTGATAAGTGTTAAGACTATTCTAAACACTCACTACCCATGTTTCTTCATAAAGCCTAAACTTCTCTAATTTCTTCCTTAAGGCAAAATTACTGAAAAAGACCATATCTTCTCAATATCCTTGTTTGACATCTTGATTTATGCAACATTTTTTTTCTCTTTCATTTATTACCCTAAAATTTTTCTTTGCCCATATCTTAAGGCAAATTTACCCAAAAGTCAAATTATCTAATTTTCTTCAGCATCCTTTCCTCTGGATGGTATTGATTTTTTTTCTCTTACAACATGTCTAGATTGAGATAAGGGGAGAGAAAGGAAACAAAAGGAAATGGGGAATTCTTTCCCTTGTTTGTATATAACATAAATAAAAATGAAGGAAAGGAAAGTATGCTTAGCTCCCTTTGGTTTCCCTCAACTTTCTTCATTTTTTAATTACCCCAAATTAGGGGGAATGAAGGCAAAGGAAAAAAATATAAAATTTAAAATATAAAATGACTATTATATCTTTATTAATTTTTTTAAATTAAAAGTGTATGATTTTAAACTCCAAAATTAAACTGAGAAAACAAAATATCATTTACCAATAAATTTATTGTCTTTAATTTTTTTCTTTTATTTTTATGAATTTCATAAATTTCATTGATGACTATTTTTATGAAAAAATAAAGGAAAATTGAAAATATGGAATACATTAACATAAACATATAAATGTTATAGTAAAAACAAAGATTATCAAAGGTTATAATAAAAAAATATATAATAAATCTTTTCCTTCCCTTTCCATTATTTAACCAAATAATGATAAGATTTCTTTACTCTCTTTTCCCTTATTAATTTTAGTTATTCAAACAAAAAATACATATATCATTTCCTTTCCTTTATAAAACCTTCCCTTCCTTTATTTTCCTTTCCTTTCTTTTACTGATGTTTAACCAAACATAGTGTTAGTGTGAAAATAAGGATTGTTACATTGGGACTTCATTGGATACAGTCAGATGATATACTTTGAGCTTGAGTTGCAAAAAAAAAAAAAAAAAAAGAAAAAAAGAAAGAAAAAGAAAAAATTAATTATAATATCATGCACATGAGATATTCAAATGATTCTAAAGTGAAAAAGAAAAAAATCTAACCTAAAACTTTTGAATAAAAAAGCATTTGAAATAAAAAAGTCACTATTTACAAAACTATTGTAACCCTAAACCAAAGAATAAAAAAATCAATATACCTTAAAAATTTTTACAACCCAAAATCGAATCTCACTTTGCTTTACAAAATCGAATCCAAATACTCCACAAATCTCTTTGTGCTAGTCAATGCCCCTACCTTGTCTTGTTCCAGCGAAGAAACCCAATACTTCAATTAGATGGTATATCAAATCTAACCTAAAGCTTTTCAATTTAACATCTTTCCCATCAGTTTCTTATTTGATTCTCAAAGATTGTTTGGGTTTAGGGTATTAATAGAAGAACGATTTTGAGGTTTTTTTTATAGATGAGATTTTGAAAAATTTTTTTTACTCCTGTTTAAGGTTATTTAATTTGGGATTTTTACTTAATCAATAAATAGCCACATAAGCATGATATGTAAGCAATGACTCAAGTTGACATGTCATTTTGTGTCTAGATGGTGGTTTTTTATTGGCTAAAATAACCAAGTTAGCAATTCGATTAATGGAGTTAACTCTTAGACTAAATTGATGTATGAATTGAGAGTTTATGTTACTATTTAGCAACTTTTTTTTTAGTTTAGGTGCCATATCCAAAAAATATAATAGTTCAAAGGCCAATTAAAACATTATCCCATTGTATTTTTCCAATTCGCAATAATACTAAACTCTCTCTTAGTAAAAAGATGAATAAGAAATGAATACACTATTGGTAAAGAGATGAATAAGAAATAAATACGCTATGTCGATGCCCCAACTACACCACAAAAGGACTTCATTTTAGTTTTTAAAGAGATGAATAAGAAATATATACGCTATGTCGATGCCCCAAACTACACCACAAAAGGACTTCATTTTAGTTTTTCTACATGCTCTTTCAAGCAACAAAGGCCACGGACACAAAAAACAAAAAAAATTGTCACCAGTGAAAATGACAAAGGTATTATTGTTTAGGATTTGAATTCTGGATTGCCCTTTCGGGCTTGGAATGATGATGTTTCTACAATGCAACAAAGGGATCCAATCCATATTGAACTTCTATAAACGTGAATAATTATTACAATTCATAAGAAACCACCTTAATTTCTGCTAAAGATCGAGACATAGTCAGGTGGTAAGCTCGGAGCCTAGTCAGCATCGACGTCTCTCTGACAAGGACATGGACATGGGTGATGGGGATTGGCATGGAGCGTTGGCATCAGCTGCTACCCAAAGTCACTATACTACTTGTTTTGCTTTAATTTACCTTGCAGTCTTTATCTCTCATATTTCCAAACCCAAAAACAAAACCTCATACATATATTTTATTTATTTATTTTATTATTATTTAATACGATCAAATCAAAGGTATCTTCCTGCTCTTTACACAATCTCTTTTTGACCAATCTTAAGACATAATTTTAACATTGATTTGCTGCATTTTTATCTGGCTTTGGCCAAGCTCTTTTTTTTTTCTTTCTTTAGTGTGAATACTCTATATTTGGAAGGCTTCATTTAGACAATCCCAATGTTAAAAGGCAAAGAAGAAATGCCCCACTCATAGAATCAAATAATTGTTGTGGTAGAAACCATGGAGAATGTCCCCACTTCAGTAAATGCAATGCATTTAGCCTTCATATTGTTATATACGGTGGAATTTGGAGTGTACTTCACTCAAAAATCTTTGATACAAGGATGGTTGATGGCTCTGTCCAACATGAAACAAGAACGAACCAACAATAATGCCATTATACTATTTTTGGCGAAGAAAAAGAGGTGGAAGTGTGAACCTGGAATAAAACTTGAAAAGCAATGGAAGTGGAGCAGAGGCCAGAAGGAGAGAAAAAAAATAAAAATAAAATAAAAAAGAAAAGATTACATTCAATAGAAATTACATGGCATTTGTTCAAGATTACAAATATATCCTAGAAATTATGATAAGTCTGTCTCCATGCATGAAATTCGAAGGAATGACGACTACACCAGTTAATACCATTCAAACAAGTAAGAAGCTATTGATCCAAACATAAGTTGGGCCACAATTTCTTTACAGCAAAATCTATAATCAAGTGTGTCGAGTGATTACCTTGACTCCTGGAAAGTCTGAGTAGGGAAATAGGGCTACAGGCAGAGTTTCGAAGAGGATAGCATGGATCGAGGAAAACAAATGCAGTTGTTGCCAAGTAGGGGAAGCATGAGATTTAGGACCTAAACTAAAGACTGAGTTCATTTATGAAACCTATAAAACAATCGATATCAATAAATCTTGTGCTCATTCCTAAGGACGAAACTAATCAACCGTAAATATCAGTGATGAAAAACTAGTAGAATTCATGACAAGGAAAAACCTATATGAAGTTCTTAGAGTACTGCAATAAAATTAAAAAATGTAAAAATTATTTAATCAGCAGACACTTGACTTTATTTGCTGCCGCCAAGCCCTCAAAAATACTCATCTTTTTCATTTTATACCTATGTTTTTTGCTCTGTTCCTCACTAGCAACCACCACCAAAAGCAAAATCTCTCCTCTGAATTCCTCTATCAGCAAAACTTGTATCTCCAACTGAAGACATGGTGTGCTGGAAATTCACTTAAGACATTTTATCAAATATTAAGCAAGAGATGGCCTTATTACATACAACAAGCGCTTCTGGAGCTTGGGAAACACTCTTGCAACACTTACATAATAGTTACAAAGCATTTTTCACACTAAACTCACAGAGCAATACTATATATGCTACACACGTTTCTAACTAAGCTAAAAAAACATATAAATCCACCCAGTATAAGGATCATTAAGTATAAAAAACATGGGAAAGAAGATAGCTTTCTTTACTAAGGGCAGCAACGCCTTTGCAGGTATATGCTGTCTCGATGTTTAGGCAAAAGCCATATCTCCCATAGTTTGGGATTCTCAGAAGCAAAGCACCCATTTCCTATAACCTGAAGATTGTAGGATTGGCTGGTGCTGTTGAGTCACGAAATTAAACTATCGGCTGATGTTGTTGAGTTAGGAAGAAGCTCTTCATCGTCGTTGGCAAATGATTCCATCACAGCAATTGCTTTGCATTTTAAAGAAGAGGCTTTGTATTTATTTATTCATTATTATTATTATTATTATTATTATTATTATTTTCTTTGCATAGCATTGTATTTTAAAGAGGAGTGTTTAGGGTAGCGGCAGCAAATAGATGTTACCCAAAAGTTTTGGCTCAAGTTTTTGGGGAACTCTAGGAACTCCATGTAAGTTCCCCCTCCCCGGCACCGGGGTAAGACACTAGAAACTTGCAGCACTAGAGATGGATCTTATCAATGGGAATCTGTCCATGGGTGTAAATAAGAGTGAGCAGAGATCCTGATGAATGTCTTTTAGTTTCTGAGAGTGCAGCATGACTTAAACAGAAAATGCAACTTCACCAAATCAAACGGTGAGATAAAGCCTCCTTATTTCAGGCACTTGGCCTCAAATCTTGTTTTGTATAGAGACTTGAACAGTCCATCCATGTGGAGCTCTTTCTTCACCAAAACTTTCAAGGTAATGGATTATAAACGATCTTCTAGCAAGAATTTATTTTTGCAAATATATGCATAGGAATCCTGGATCAAGAACAATGTAAGAAACAATTAACTTGAAGCTTGTGCTATTTGTATAACCATTATAACCATTATTAAGTAACTGATATATGAACTGCACAAAGCACACAATATTTGAGTTTGAGCTTTTACAGTATAATCTTTAGATGACTTTTCATTTCCTGTGACAATAACAACAATACGACATACACCAGATAGAAAAGGACCACCAGAGTTCCTTATCTTTCACAAATACATATCACAAACCAATACCAATAACAAGGCAGACATTAAAACAGAAATTAAAGATATAAACCAAACCCTTCTTTCAAAATTGTTGTTACTTTCTTCTTGACTGATTTAGATTGGCTGTGAAGTTCTAATCTGTGGCTTGATGTTATCGGTTGGAAGTTGAGCAGATGCATCTGGCAATACAACTGCAGCAGCTGCAGTCATGGTTTGGTATTGAGAAGGCATTCTAGGTGCCAAAGGCTGAGTGTAGTATATCTGAGCATGAGCAGGATCAGTGAATTCATAAGTATATGCGGCAGTGGCAGCGGATGTAGGTGCAACAGATTGTGATGGATGATGAATCTGAGAGAAACCTACATATTGTTGCTGATGCTGACTGTTTGGCAATTGAACCAGTTGCGGAGAACCAGTAGTTGTTCTGTACATTCCTGTAGCAGCAGCCATTTCAGGTTTGGCAATAGGAGCATTTCTCATAGGGTTGTATGCACCAGGAGGTGGAACCATGGTAGTATTGGGAGGAGTCTGTGGATGGCTAGATGTGATTGCATTAGTGGCTTCACTAATACTAGGTTGCTGGACAGGCAAGTTGTAAGCTTGGGGTTGCCTTGCAGGCACGTAATACATGGGATATTGCTGATCAACCTGTGTGTGATGATGATGGTGTTGCTGTTGGGAAGGATATACCGGGTAATAAGCTGAGATTGGCACCGCCCCAGTGGGATGATGATGAATGTAATGTGCTGCACCAGCATGTAGAAATTGTTGTTGTTGTTGTTGCTGTTGATCATATTGGGGGTGCTGCAATATATAACCAGAATCCTGAACTGGTTGTTGTATCTGAACCTGAGCGTTTGTGTTCGGATCAGAGGTATTGAGCTTTGGATCAACAGGGTTTGCAGGAACCCTGTTAGCCCCAGATGGGATTTGAACAATTGGGTCTTGATAAATCATAGGTTTTTGGCGTGACAATGGATTTGTAAAACTATTATCACTGCCCAAATTATACATATAATAAAAAAAATCTCAGCTACTTTATAAAAGTAAATCCAACCAAAATTAAAGAAAAGAAACAAATTGGAAGATGAAAACAGTACCTTGAGACGGAATCCGGAGAAGCCAAATCATGACCACTGCTAGACTTCTGTTGATTCTGAAGAGGCAAAACCTGAGGTTGTGACTGTGGAGGTGGTGGTTTCCTATACCCAACAGGAACCCCATGATCCGATCTGTCATCATCAGAAAAACCCCGATTCATATAGTCCCCAGGAACCACACCTGAACTCAAACCCACCCCACCACCAGAAACAGCTATGCCCACCGGCATCGGCGGCGGTGCTGACAATGCCACAAACCCTTCATCCAGGTGCTTCACCCCTCCACCAGCAACACAAGCAGGTGCAGCTACAGTAAACTGAGCAAACTGTTCCTCAATCCCCACCATCTTATGCTCCTTCTGATCCTCAGCCTGGACTCGAATGGGAGGCAAGTTAGCAAGCGAAGGAGAGGAAGAAGTTGAACCAAAAGAAGATGTAGTTTCAAGCATAGGAGAATCAGGAACCGAATGAACATCTTGATTTTTTAAATTCATATTCTTCTGACTTCCACTCCCTTCATCTTTCAAACCAACTTCAACAACATTTCCCTGACGATCATCATCCAATCCCAACAAACAATTCACGTTCGTCCCCGATTCCGAAAACCCTCTGTTCAACAATCCTGCCCCATTCAACGCGTTAAGAAACCATTCATCAGACTTGGTCGGATTGTTAATAATCGGCTCAATTGAATGTGAAGACGCCGGGCTTCCCTCCGGATTGAGAGGGAAAAGAAAGAGGCGAATACGGGAGGACTTGCTTGACGATGTTGTTTGGGAACAAGTACGGTCGTATTCATCGATCATGTTTTCAAGGTCTTCGTCGGTTGTAACAGAGATGAGAGAGTCAAGGTCTTCAGAGGGAAGTTGGTACTTTAGAGTAAAAGGGCGGCCGTGGAGAAGAGAATTTGAGAGGCGCTGGTGGAGAGAACCGAGGGAAGTGTGGCGGTCCACGACAACCATACGAGTGTCGCCGCCGATGTAACACAAGGCTTTGTCGTGGGGACGAGGGACGATAGTACCGCCATAACTGCACATCAGGCGGAGCTTTGAGTAGAGAGTAGGGGGAGGAGCTGGGTCTTCCCATGAATCCGTGTTGCGGGAGCGTGGCGAGGAATCGATGGAGTCTGGATAGGTGGCGTTGATGTTGGCGGCAGGGGTTGTTGCGGTGGTGGGGGTGGAGGAAAGAGGTGGAGCCGCCGCGGGTGGCGGAGGCAGAGTTTCCATTTGGTGGGGGGTGGGGGTTTGGGAGAGAGAAAGAAAGAAGGAGAGAGCAAAAGAGGGCTTGAGGCAGTGGAAATTTGATGCTCTTATAGACTCAAGTACTCAACACCTTGTTTTGCCTGGTTGTTCTTTTTTTTTTTTTTTTTTTGGGACTTTCGGTTTTGGATGTTTTTAAAAAAATCATAAATTTTAAGATTAATCTCATCGTGAATAACACTTAATAAATCTTAGGATTAATCTCGTGAATAACATTTAATTTATTGTAAAACATTCAATATTATATTTAAATTTTAAAAAATTTTAATGTAAAATTTAAATTATAAATATATTAATTAATATGATATTTATTTAATTTAATTAATTTTAAATGATGATATATAATAATAAATAAAATTTTAAATATTATATTAGTTAAAAAATTTATAATTTAAATATTTTTTTAAAAGTTAAATATTATATTAAATATTTTGTTATAATTTAAAAATTATTTATGATATTAATTTTAAATTTTATTATTATAATAATTTTAACATTTTTTCTTAAATTTTTTCTTAAAAAAGTTTATTATTATTATTTTTTTGCCAATTGTTTAAATTGTTTTTTTGAAGGAAAAGGGTGCAAGCAAAGCAAGAAAGACAAGTTGAAACAAAACTGTGTACGTTGTTCAAGTGGTTTGACAGCTAGGTTTACTGATTGGTTTCAGTTGGTGCTAATGTGGGGAAGTGTGAACTAATTGAGGGCAACTTAGTCATATTAATTGACCAAAACCTGGGATTCTTATTTTGGGCCTACCATTTTTTTCACCTCTTCATCTAACTTTTTTTTATGTGTAGTTTCTCCGTCGCATATTTTTTATTGTTTAGTTTGTTTTGAATGTTTCAAAATAATGTTTTGTTTTCTTCTTGAACACTTAATTCTTTTACTGCTAATTATACAGTTACAATACACTTCTTTTAGAGTGATTATTCAACATAATCAAAATATTTGAGATAAAAAGTTAAATCAAATGATATGAAGGTTGTGGAAAATGTTCAACAAAGAGAAGAAAGGTTTTGATAAAGACAAAAGATACTCGTGAAAAATAAATATTACGTTTGTTTTTAACGTAACATACATCTATTTACAATTGAGTTAAATATGCAAATAAAATATTAATTTCAAAATTAAACCAAAATAAAATAGTATCTAGTAGATTAGTAGTATATCTTTGGGGGGAAAAACGAAGACCTAATAATTAGTACATGGAAAAGCAATTATGGAAAATATATATATATATATTTATATACTGTAAAAGAAGCTTTAGAAAAAGGCGTTTTCGTGCTTGTGGAAAGAAAGAAAATGAAAATTTGAAAGCAACCCAAACGTAGCCTTAGCCGCAACACTGGCTAACAAGACCACGGCTGACGCAAGGATTCTGTACCTTTGATAAATTATTAATTATTATTTATTTTATTATTCGAAATATCAGAGAGAACGCAAAAGCGGAAAACGTAGGGGCACCGTCCACGCGCGGAAACTCGAATTGCCATTGGTTAGAATAGGCGAGAAATCAGGTAGTGAGTGGGCCGTTGAGGGGTAAGCGCGTGAAGAACTGCGAGGCGGCGGTCATGTAGAGAAGAGATGTAGCGCTGTAAAGTTGCAGAAGATTTAAGATGGAATTTGCCTTTGCTTTCTGATTTCTAAAATGTTCAACGTTTAAATATTCTGGAATCCCCACGTCAGGATTACATATACATGAGTTTTTTTCTTTTTTCTTTTTTTTTTTATAATAAAACATTTTAAGTGTTTTACAATAATTTTTATTTGTATTAGACTTGATAATTTTAGATATAATATAAAAATAATATTAAAAAATTTTAAAATTTAAATTTTAAAAAAATTAAAGAATATGTTTTATAATTGATGTGTAGATAAAAACTATAATATTATAATTTTTATGTTTTACACTTAGTTTACATAAAATAAATATAATACAACAATATTTTTTGCTATACTAATACTATTGATGGATAGCTTGTGTATATGAATTCGTATAATGGGTTACAAGACATTACTAAAAAATTAATTTAAAGTATAAAAATATTATTCTTTGTATCTCATAGGGATGAGAATTAAAAATTTCAAAATTGATTCAAAATCGTAATGTTCGATTGGATTCAGATTAATATTTTTTATTTAGTTCAAATTAAATTCAGATTTTAAATTTATATATTAAATTCAAATCGAAATATAAAAAATAAAAAAATTGAATTAAACCTAATTATATATTTTATTAATTTTTTTATATATTTTAAATTTTATAAAATAAAAATAAATATTTTATATGTAAATCTTGTTAAATATATTAAAAATCCTATAAAGTAATATATAAAAAACAAAAAAATAAAAATAAAAACTAATAAATCGAATTGATAGAATTCAGTTCAGATCAGATCAGATCAGCTTTAAAAGAAGGTTGTATTAAATTTGGATCAAATTTTAAAATTTTATAATACTATGCATTATCTTAAAAAACCAAGCCAGATCCGCTTTAATTTGTTACCTCTAATATCTTATGTTACATGCTTGGTTTGGTACTTTTCTCCAATCTTTGTAATAATTGGTACTTTTTTCTACCTTATACAGCATAATTATGGGAAAAGGGAACAATATCTTCTAGCTTCCAAAGCCTTTTATGATCTAAGTATTCATCTTACTCTGCCTTAGCACATTTCTATCTTATGAAACCCACAGTATAAATATAAATAGTATGGTTTTCCTTTTTCACTGAAAGAATGAAACTAAATCCCTAGCGTAAGCTCTACATAATGAGTTCATTTATGGCAGAAGTTAGGGAATCCTCTATTTCAAAACCTTCACCCAAATTTAGGCTAAGCTTGGTACTCCCTAATTTCCCATTTTCTTTCCTTTTCGTTTCTTGTTTTGTTTTTTCTTTATAAATTATGTTATTACGTTTGTCATTTGCATTGTATTTTACACTTGCATGTATCTTTTCATTTCTTTTTTAATTGAATTAGAAATTCTTTATTGGATTCTTTTTTCTCACACCTACATCTATACGAAGGCCACGTCTTTGCTGAAATTTGAAAATGTTAATTTCTGTCATAACCCTAAAGTAAAATTATGAATTGGGTGCATGCTGTTTCAATCTTAAAAGTATTAAATTTTCTTAAGAGCTGAAAATGTTCATTTCTATCATAACCTCAAAGGATCAACCCATTGTTGTTAAGATCATCTTAAAAGCTAAGGTACAATACTTTCTCTATTCATTTTCCTCCATTCGTACATTATTCATGTTTAAATGCTTAGAAGGCAAGTTTTAATTATCTTTTTCTCTTCTATCATCAAAGGAAAACTAACTGAATATATTCATTTATGGTTTATTACAATTTTGATCTTTACTTCTCTTTTCTTTGGTTTTTGTTATGCTCTCAAGGTACGCCAATGTCATTTATCATCAATAGAAGATTGTTTCATTTTTTTTAAATGTCTATTTTAATATGTAGGATGTAATAATATACATTTTAAATATGAGGGACAAACATATGTACAAAATGGCAATTGTGACTCAAGATAAACATTTGCATTTCAATTTTGAGCAATCAATGTTGATATTGAGTTAGTTTCAGTTTGTTTTAAGATGCTGAGCACATGATGGCAATAAAGGAGGCATTGCATGTTTCAATAGCTCCATTAGCTGTTGTGTGCAAAGAAGATAAATAGAAAAAGGTTTTGGAGTTTTGCAAGGCATGTGTGAAACAAGAGAAAGCTAAGAGTCTGTATCTATGTGGATGTCCTAGGACTAAGAAATAGTTATCAATAGAGAAAGTAAAACAGTAAGTTATTGATTAGGCAAAACTAGTAGGTTCATTGCTTTTTATCCCTTTGCTTTAGATGCTATTGAAATGGATTATCACTTACAGTCATTTTCTTTTTATAGCAATAAGGGTTATAGCCACCTAAAGTATTAACAGTGAATTGTACTTCTTTAGCAAACACATCTGAGATTTTTATTAAGGTATTGTTATTAAGATTTCATCAATATTCAAATCTTGAATTCTATAAATGTTTGCCTGATGATTACCATGGTAGATTCTTAGCAAGCACCAATTAAATAAGAAAACTTTGGGCTCAACATTACATTTACATTATCTACAAAACCTCTATTCTAATAAGTAGCATCATCCAGCTTGAAAATGATGTGAGAAATTACCTCAACTGACTTGAAGCATCTTTATGCATCTTTATTTCCCCTATCCTTTTGCCTTAACAAAAATTATGAATTTTTACATATGTATGCTGATAGGTATCATTTATTGCAACTATGCCAAATGCTCATTTTTATGTAATTGTCTTGATTACAAAGTGTTTTTTATCTTTATTTGTCTTAATTCATGCCGTTATTCCCTCATAAATGTTATTCCTGTTTTGTTTTTGCTGGAATAGCTAATTCCATTAACCTAGCTAATCGATTTCTTCCAAGATTGTTGTCATTGAATTTTTAGCTTTTTAGTTGTTTTAGTAGGTTAAATCTTATTTTGACGGGTTAAATTGTATACTTCATATTTCTCACCACATGATTGTTTCAAGAATCAGATACTGCCACTAACTTAAAATGCATCACTATATTATGCTAAGCACTACTAAATTATAACTTTCATGAAATAAAAAAATACACAAAAAAGGACAACTGATTAATGTGAAGCTATTAGCTCAACTTAAATGATTGATTTAAAGAGGTCAGTTTCTCATTTTCCAAGACTCGAGAAAGGTTAGTTGGTATTTGTTATTTTTATGGTTTTTGGGTTTGTTTGTGTTTGGATTTGTTGTTATTATTATTATTATTATTCATGGTTTTAAGGTTACAAACTTAAATTATTACAAATTTTAATTCTTACATAAATAAAATCTCAAATCCCCCATAATAGTTTAAAAATTGCTTTAATAATTTAAGAATGGAGATGAAACAAAATTTTAGGTTTGTTTCATTTTTTCTTTTCGGTGCATGGTTTCATTTCAATTAGTATGAGTTGGATTGTTTTTAAGAACAGTGTAAAA